AAAAAACAAAACAAAAAGGGGGGAATGCTGGAAACTAAAGCAAACAGCAGTTAGCATATTAATGAAAAAAGATCTGTTGAAAGGCCAATGGACTTTGATATTCAGTAGGGCTGAAAATCAGCATAATACTGCCCTGCTATGGACTCAATGGTTCAAGGCATTTTCCTAACCTGATAATTCTTATGCTATTTACCAAACTTTACCTTTGATCTACCTGTATGCATTGCTAAAGAGAAAAATGTGTATTCAAGTAAAAAGTGGACCGGCCAGAAGTTGGGGTGTCTCTTCAAGAAAGAGACTCCACCTGGTCCCCATCCCTTAACAATTCATATTTTTGTCTAGTGTTTTCATTTGTGTATCAGCCCCTTCTTTCAGATCCTGAACCTTGCCATGCAGGTCACCGCAAACTGTCAATGTCCAGAGCATTATAATCTCTAATCCTTTCAAAAGTCCCTGATAAAGGCATTTAGGCCTCTTCTCACTGAGATTTCCCTCATATTCTTTGGCTCCTGTGGACCCCTTTATGAGGTTCCTCTGGCCAAAAAGATGGGACTCCCTGAGTTTTAGCTTCCTGCATCATCAGAGAGCTCTGCATGAGTACCCTTGGGGTAAAGCAGTGAGAGAAAAGTATGTGTGTGGGATGGGACAGGGAAATTTCCCTGTGCCCCTCAGCTCAAAGGGACCCCTCTCCCTGTCTTTTGGCCAGAAAGGCAGTTTTGTCTCAGAGTATTTCCTCACTGAGCACGCTGCACAGTGTCCTGATTTGGCTCACCTGTCGGGCAAAGGAAAAAGGAACAAATAGAAAATTGACAGCCACTGCCTTTGTCTTTTGTCAAGTGTTGACTTCCCCAATTTGCTGTTTGTTTGTTTGGGGTGTGTGTGTGTGTGGTTTTCAGAATTCTCAAATAGTTGCTTTTTGTATATTTTTCCTTATGAATTCTGGTTGTGGGATTCATGAGGAAAGAAAGGTTACAATGGGAGATACAGTGGAGAGAAAGGCTACCATGGCTTCCTCCATCTTGGCTCACTGTAAGAACTGGGACTAATGAGCGATTTGAAAGCTCTGAGTGTGGGTAAGAGCTGGGTCCTCAGCACCCAGCGTACACAGTCTCCTCACCGCCTGGCTGGAGTAGGGGTCTGCCCTCGCGGTGCTGGTGTCCCTGAGAATAGAAGCTGCCTGCTCTGCTCTCCCCAGAGAACAAGCCTCCAGCCTTCTGTGGGTGGAGGAGGACAATCACACAGCAGCCGGGAGCTGGGAGGAGGTTGGAGCCACAGCTTTTCCTCACACAGAGTTCAGCCAATCCTTCCAACCTTAGCGTCCTCTTTACACTGCTTCCAGAGGTTTTTGGTGCTGCCGGCACCTGAGTCTCTGAGGAACTCCACTGTAAATAACAAGGGCTCCCACCTGACCCCTCGACGGACCTGGACTGAGTTTTCTCAGGTTTTCCAGGTCATTTGCCATCCTCTCCATCTGTTTTTCTGAGTCTAATAGTTTATTATTGTTATCTCTCCTTCTAATGTCCTTATCTTTATGTGCCTGCTTTAAAAATTGTTTTATAATAGATTTAGTGAAGTCCTAGGAGGGAGTGAAAGGGTAGCCTGGTACTGCAACCCTCAAGCCATGAGTTTGACATGCTTGTACCACTCACATTCCCAGGGGATAACTAACTCTCTGGCTTCCTTCAACTGCACTGGGGCCTAGATAGCTTATTTCTGGTTAATATGCCATCCTCAGGTGCTCCTTGCTTCTGTGGATGGGCTACAGGAGTAAAACTATTTCTTTTTGCACCATTTTAATAATATTCAGTTACCAGAGAGCGATTTTTATAAAGCTAGTCATGTGTGCTTAGCATTCTAGGTGTAGATGTGATGGAGAAAGTGGGTTCATGTTTATGGTCCTGGCACATATATCTTTCATGTGTCTCATGTATCTACATGTTTTGTTTCCATTCTAGAAACATACAGTATGTTTAAAAGATCTTCTGAAAACATGAGGACTTTCTTAGGGATGGAGGAAAAGTTTTAGGTTGTTGGAGCAGTGAATTTTGAAAAACCACAGATTGCTTTTGTTACAGGATTCCAGGGCAGGAGGAATAGGAACACTGAGACAGGAAAGTTAAAACAAGGCCAAACCGTGTGGGCTATTTGCAGCCAGTTTGCAACTAACAAGCCCTTATCTTCCCCAGCCAAGGACACAGAGCAAATGGTTAAAAAACCTCCCTAAGGAGAGAATGCAGAAAGGAAGGGAAAAAGAAGAAAGGGGAGGAAAAAAGGACAGTTTACTCCCTAAGGAGAGAAGCCAGCAGTCTCAAGGCTTGGCAAGGGAAAGTTGCCAGGTGCTTCTCATGAATTCTGGGACGGACACAACAAAGTATAAAGGGGCCTTGAGAATTAATCTGCACCAAAACAGTCAGCAAAGGAATTTGAAGCCTATAGACAGGACGGTCTATAACGCCTCAGACTTCCACCCAACTTGCTCTTGAGATTAGTTGAGAGCCCTTCTGTGCTCACAATACGTGTGAGCATAACACAGGTATTGGTTTGCTTGCTTTATTTTTTCAATAAAGTTGCATGCTTTAATTGCTTTACTAACTTGGCTTTTCACAACGCAGTCAAGGTCTCTGGTATAAATTCATTTATATAAGAGGACAAGGATGGAGGTTGGAAACAGACCCCACTCACTTACTCGGGGGCTGTCCAGTACCACCTCGCTGGTGTCCTTGAGAGGTGTCTCTAAGGTTTTGAAGAGGTCAGAAGGTTGATCTGCCCTTTGAGAAATATCAAAACATCCATCTCTTCTAGCTAAATCATGCCTTAGCCCAAGGCCATCAGCAGCTAATTTATGTCTGGGGAGGAATTAACTGGAGCAGCAAGGTGCTGGAACCCATTTGACCTGCTCATAATTAGGGTCATAGCTAGCTTTACAAACTTCAATATCACGGAGAAAACTAGATTTCAATCATGACTGCAGCTTATTTTTGACAAAAGTTGCTATGAAGCGAAACAACAGAAGCTAGCAATCAAGCACAGGCTTAGAGCCAGGGAGCTCGGGTTTGAATCATGGCTCTATGTTACTAGTGCAGGATCTTGAGAAAGTTACTTACTACACCACCACCCCCTCCCTGGGACTGAGTTTTCATTTACTGGAAGTTTACTCAAACACTGTCCCAGTGTTCTAAGGATCAGGTTGTACAACTTTTGTATAATATCTGCATAGTATTTTGCCGGAAGCCAATTCCAGCATGTCATAATTGCAAGAGTTTCACTAAAAGGTTGATGGAACTTGGGGACTCAACAAGGACTGGGTCACATATGTTAATCACCTGTTTAATCACCTTGGGGACTCAACAAGGACTGGGTCACATATGTTAATCACATAATGTTAATCACCTGAAAGGGATGATTGTTTGCTGCCAGACAGCTCAGGGCATCTTAATCTACATGTTATTGCCTCCTACTGGCCAAACACCTGAACAGCTGTAGGCTGTTCTCCATTCTGACAATGCTTCCATACCCTACCCTTTGAAGTGTATTATCTCCACCTTGCCTTAAGACAAATTGTGTTAATAAAAAGCAAGGGTCCTGAGACAAGGAGAACTTTAGCTCCTTTAGCTAAAGCTCCTCTGACCCCCAATGCCTTTCAAAATTATCTTTTGTCTCTGGACTCCTACTTAATCTATGCATGGCCTTTCTCCAGATTGCTGAGCCCTTCTTAATGCTGGAACAAGAACCCTGGCAGTATCTGGAACACTATAGATACTCAATAAGCATCATCATCACCATCATCACCAACAACACACTAATTTCCATCAGCCTTTTGTCAGAGAAGATAGAAATGTAGAGCTAAAGTGCTTTTTGGTGAAAAGTGCTATAATGAAAAGCAGTGGTTTACATTATGGCCACTGCCTAAAACATGGGATTTTCAAACATTTTGGCTGTTTCCACAACCTCTGTCCAACCACCCCACTTAGAACATTTTATGCTTCATTGAGATTCATCAATCAGAGTTGTCGGTGATGCTGATGGTCCATTGTCAGTGGGTGCTCTTTTATTTATACATCCAGGTGGTGGGTGACTTCCAAGATCCACCACCCACATTTTCTCACTTAGCACACCTGGGGACCAATGCATGCACAAGAGACAAAACCCATTTTCATTTCTTTCCATCAACTATTTTGTGAGATAGGTGATCTGTTGTTTTCATTATTGTGTAAGAAATCATATTTTATCCTTTTTTGTTTTTGAAGTCACACTTTTCTAACCAAAATATACAGAGAGAGAGAGAGAGAGAGAGAGAGAGAGAGAGAGAGAGAGAGAGAGATGTGTGTGTGTGTGTGTGTGTGTGTGTGTGTGTGTAGGGTGATTGGACTAGAAATGTCCACAAAATAATGGGTTTGATACATGGTCATCCTTAGAGACCTGAACCAAACAATTAGTATAATTCTTCTCAAGAACTCATGGAACTTTTTAACAAAAATTGACCACATACTACTCATAAAGCAAGTCCCAACAAAAATCAAAGAAACATATTATACAGACCCGATTCTTCAACCACAATGCAATAAGTTACAATCAGTAACAAAAATATAATTTGTAAAAATCTCATACATTTATAAATTTTAAAACATTTCTATTACCACTGGACCAAAGGAAAAAAAAATCATAGGTGAAGGAAAAATCCTTAGGACTGAATGATAATGAAAATGCCATATATCAACTGAGGAGATGTAGCTAAAATTCTACTTTGAAAAAAACGTTGAGCCTTAAATTCTTATATTAGAAAAAAAAAAAAAAAAAAGAGAAAGGCTGAGAGCTGACAAGTGAAGCCTCCAACTTAAGAAGTTAGAAAAAGAACAAGAGAAAATATACACAAGTGTCCTAATATTTTCTTTAGAGAGAATGCATTTAATAATAATAAAAAATAAATAAAAGTCAGTCGTTACTCTGCTGGGATGTTGTGAAGTGCTCATGAATGAAGGAACCGAAAGCAGAGTCATTACCTGCCAATTTCATTCAGCTCAGTATAAGCTGAATCAAAATTTTCCTTCCAAGAAATGGTGGCGCCATCAGCAGCAGCATCTTTGGAAGAAAGAGAATTCATTTATGAGATAGAGGACGTGACGAAGAATAACAAAAAGGCTAACAGGAATGGTCCAGCATCACCCAAAACAACTCTCAGGACTAAAGGCGGAGCCCAAGTAGGTGGGAAAATGCCCGGATTTCCTGACATGTTCTTTAAAAAACCTCATCCAAAGGGAACCTGATGTGATGTCCAGACTCCCGCCCTGTGCTGTGTACATCAACGCCGGGAAACTCGGGGGGCGGTCAGGAAGGGAACTTATGGATATTTTACTAGTAAATATTAGGCAGAAAAATTAAAGAGGAGAGAGGAAGTCGTGTCGAAGGCCTAGCAAAGCTGGTGAGGACTTGGGCAATGGGGAGGACACAGCCGAGAAGGCTGAGGAGGAGTCACGGGGCCAGGAAAGGACGAAAGGGAAGGAACATGCTCAAAACATTCTACAACCTGCTCTTCCTCTCCCTTCTGTTCTCAGGCATCACTGAGCTCATCTCCTACATTGAATGACTTAGCTTAACCACAACATGCGCCTGAGCAGAATCTTTGCAGCATTTGGCTATATCACGTGTTAATTCCCTGCCAATGATTCACATACGTGTGAACATGACACGACTATGTATCTGTGTTGTCTCTGGGGAACCAAGGCTCGCAAGAAGCAAAACGTGAGCAGTGGTGGTCCCTGAGCACAGCCCCGCGGAGGCTGATGGTGCCTACACCCTGAAATCCGAGGGAAGAGACCCAGGCCCAGGGTCGTGGTCGGCAAACTGCAGCTCTAGAGCCCCATGAGGCTCTTTGGCCCCTTAAGTGTGGCTCTTCCATAAAATACCACGGCCTGGGCGAGTCTATTTTGAAGAAGCGGCGTTAGAAGAAGCTTAAGTTTAAAACACTTGGATCTCAAAAGAAAATTCAATCGTTGTACTGCTGATATTTGGCTCTGTTGTCTAACGGCCAAAGTTTCCCAGTGAGTGGCAGGCCCACTGGAACAAGGCCAGTGTGATGGTGCTGAGCCGGTGGGGAGCATTTCCGGCTTCAGCTGGGGGCGGGGCTGTAGTCTGAGACCCTCCTAGAAGGTTTCTGGAGCCACTCTTAGATTCTGGGGTTCTCTTACCTAGAGAGACACGGATTCGTTGCCTTTTAAGTATAGAGACCTCCTCTCTCCAACCCAACACACCCACCCCACTCCCCTGCACTGCCCCAAACCCCACCTCTCAAACATTTCTTTGGGCTAACCAGCTTCCTCTTTCACACTGTTCTTGGGACCAAGATGGCTTGGTGAGATCGTGAACAGGTGGACAAAATAAGAACCCTGTTTGTAAAGCACTCATGTAGCTGGTTATGTGTGTATCTTAGTAATTATTCAGCACAGCCACATAAAAATGTACCCACATGAGAAAAGGTGTTCTGGGAGGGTAGGGAGTGGGGAAATGATCGAATCCTTCCACCAGGTTGCTTTTTTCTCCCTGTTTTAAATCGGGGAGTGGGGGTGCCCCTCATGTGTGAGGCACACTGGGCTGGCCGGTCCCCAGGGGAGAGGAGGGTTGGTGTCCTGTCCTAGGAGAGGGGCAGATAGCATCCACGTGCCTCGTGTCATCTGCCTGCTTCTCTAGGTTCCTGGAGACATGCATGGCCCCCAGGGAGCCGCAGGGTAAACACAGGGCACAGATCTAACACTTGAATTCACACTTTATAGAAACACTCTCCACCAGGCCTCTGGACTGTGACTTGACTGAATCCCCTGAGCCAATCCAGGCCCCCGCTGCACAGCAGCTGCCATGCCCACGGATAGACAGTGCCACCGAGTGTGCAGGGCACCTGGCTTCCACCCTCCGGGGTGCCGGGCATGGCTGGGACTCACCATATTCTGGAAGCCGCACAAACTCTGAGGGCTCGCTGGGAAGGCTGATCCCCCAGGGGTTGCTGGCACTGACTCTGAACTGATAAGGGCTCCCGGGGCTGAGGTCTTCGATGACGAGGTACGTGTCCAAGGTCGAAGCCACTGACTGCTGCCAGGCCTGGGAACCTAGCGGGCGATTTCCGAGGAGAGAGAAAGAGGACAGGCCAGAGGGGCATTGTTTCAAAGACCTTCAGCAAACAAAGAGAGGGAAATGGACACATTCCACTCAAAGGGCCATTGTGGCCACTGTGTCTGGCTCTGAAAGCCGGGGGCAGCTGTGGCGGATGTGGGTTCCATTTCCTAGTCACTAGGACCTAGTGACTGACTGTATGAGGAGGCACGTGGAGGCAGTTGGCCTGTAGGTGCTGTTCATGCCAGCTGTGACGTGAGAGTGAGGAGACACAGAGGTCATGCCGACCTTACGGAAGCACGTGGGGCAGATTCTTCATGAGGCGTCAGAAAACATAAAGTTGGGGACATAAGAAGGAACAGCGGATGAAGGGCACAGAGACCAATGAGGTACGGCTCTGAAGGCCCTGGTTACAAGGAAGAGAAGACAGACAGGTAGCCCACCTTCTTCTCGGTACTCCACGGTGTAGCCGGAGATGGTGCAGTTGCCCGTGCTGGCCGGGGGCAGCCAGCGCAGGATCACCGAGGTGCAGCTCCTCTCCTGGGCGATGGGGCGGTTGGGGGCCGCGGGAACGCCTGCGGGACAGAGACAGGGGTTCAGGGCCATTTCTGCAGAACCGGGTCTTGTACGCCAGGGTTGAATGCCGCCTAGGAAACATTACCTAACCGGCACCTCACACTTTTCCTGTGATGGCCTCCACCTTTCCCCGGGTCCCAGCCCGGGAGGTGCGCCTTGCTGTCAGAAATTCCCCCCTGGGCTAAATACTCCCCTGGGCACATGGGAGATAAAGCTTGAGTGAGAGGTGTCGGGGAGGCCACCGACCGTAAAAACTCGTTCTCTTCCTGTTTGCTGGAACTTTACTTTGGAATTTTCACAATGGAACGCCTCCTCCTCCCCAGTTTTCAGGGAGCCATGGGAATACCCTTGGAAGATGCTTGACCCACACAAATTCAGAGATGACGAGTAGAATAGTGTTGCCACGGGCTGGGGCAAGGAGGATGGGGCATTATTGAACAGGCGCAGTTTCAGTTCAGCAAGATAAAACGAGTTCTGGAGCTTGGCTGCGCAACAATGTGAATGGACTCCCCACGACGGAACTGGACACCGAACACAAGTCAAGATGGTGAATGTTGTTATGCGCATCTTACGACACCAAACATATATTTTAAAAAATATATTTCTATCGATTTCAGAAAGGAAGGGAGAGGGAGAGAGAGAGAGAAAGATCAATAATGAGAATCAGTGATTGGCTGCCTCCTGCATGTCCCCCACTGGGGACTGAGCCTGCAACCCAGGCATGTGCTCTTGACAGGAATCGAACCTGGGATCCTTCAGTCTACAGGCTGACGCTCTATCCACTGAGCCAAACCAGTCAGGGCAATAAACCTAGTTTTAAAGCATAAAACACGTTTAACTGGAAGGAGTCCATACCTTGCACCTTCACCGTGGCGGACGTGGAGGCGGTGCCGTGGTCGTTGGCCGCTATGCACGTGTAAATGCCGCTGTCCTGAGGCATCAAGTTGCAGATCTTCAGGGTGGTTTCTCCGGACTCGCTGGGGAGACCGAAAGGAAGCCGTCAGACGCCAATCAGGAGACAAATGATGGTGAAGGGTTGGCAGCTGGTGAGCTGAGCAGACTGAGGCCCCTGGTCGGGTCCAGTTCTGCTACACACCCTGGGTGGTCGCCTCACCTCCCTACATTCTCACTGCCTTTCAGGTGAAAAGTTCTTGCCATTCCTCTCTCTCAGGTTTGTTGTACGTGAGGGATAGAGGTAGAAAAAAAGAGCAAAATGAGGTAAGAATTAGGACATGGTTTGAAATCTATCAAGTCTCATACAAGTCCTGGTCCACCGTATGCCCCGTATTATTACCACCAGCAACTTTCTTCTAAAATGGTTTCAGCTTCACAGATCCATAATGAACGGAACCCCCCAAAATGGAAAGACGAAAGAATGAAAATGTTCCAGCATTTCAAATTCTACACACGGGGCCATGAAAATAATTACGTGAATTAGACAGGGAGCAAATTCCTCCACTAAATGATGACTTTCCCCGTTGCTCACTTGGGAGGCCAGGCCGGCACCTGGGAAAACCGCAGAAAGGGTCAAGTGCAGAAGTCCCGGTCAGCCCACGCTTCCTGGCTCTGACATACGTGATCATGGTCCTCACCACCCTCACTCACACTGAACCCTGAGATGTCGGACCTGGCGGGGAGGCTGTGCTGGGAACATCTTTCACACACACACACACACACACACACACACACACACACACACACACGAAGTTAGTGCCTCTCATTTTTCCCACCCTATGCTGCAGAACGACTCAAATAACCTTCAGCTGAACACTGTGTCGAGTCACCCGTGCCCCACGAAAAGGTATTTTTAAAGGCAGTAAGTGTTCATTGTGGGGAAACTAGGAAATACAGGTAAGCAAACAGGAGAAAAGGCTTCGTGATGTTGTGATGTGGGGTAAGTACTGTGAACATCTGGTGTAGATGAGCTCAGGTCTCATAGCCACGCGCTTGGTCTTTCCAAACTTGAATCCCATTACCCAGTTAGTAGATGAAAGTATCCCCTCAATCCTAGGAGTTTCTCCCGCAAATGTTTCTTACGCACGGAGGCCTCATTACTGATTGCCCACTGTGAGCCGTAATCCACAAGGAAGCTCGTCACTAGTAGCAATTAATATGAACAGGAAGTTGGGGAGGCAGCCGACCAGGTTTTGTTCAACACCCTTTTTGCATAGAAGCATGCTGGGGCTGGATTTCCTGTTTTCTATTGCACATTTTGGAATGGGTCATTTTTTTTTTTCTTGTAAGAAAATTGTTCAAAAGTTAATGGAAGAATTCAATACTTTGCTCTTTCCCAGGATCCCGCGGGGCACAGAGAACACTGGGGTGTCTAGGATGTGAGGGCCACCTTCCTACGGGTCTGCATGCTCCCCAGTTCTCCTGGCACAGATGCTCCTGGGACTCCACAGGGAAAGAGGATTGAATAGGGGGAATGTCAGTCAGCCGCTGCCAAGGCTCTTTGACAGCGTGGTCCAGCCTTGGCCCGAGAGAGTAAGGTTCATGTTGTTCTTTCTTTGTTTAATGTGTGCTCAGAATGCAGTCTGTTGAACTGTCCTTTTTTAAAAAAAACATAAATATTTTTAAAAAATAAGTTCTAATTGATTTTTTTTTTAGAGAGAGAGGAAGGGAGAGGTGATAGAGAGATAGAGACATGGATGAGAGAAAAACATCATTGCTCAGCTGCCTCCTGCCCGCCCTTGACTGGGGGTAGAGCCCACAATCTGGGCATGTGCCCTGACCAGGATTCAAACCAGTGACCTCTTGGTTCATGGATCGATGCTTAACCATGGAACCATACTGGCCTGTTGCCAGTAAAAAAAATATATATGTAATTGATTTTTTACAGAGAGGAAGAGAGAGGAATAGAGAGTTAGAAACATAACATCAATGAGAGAGAAACATTGGTCAGCTGTCTCCTGCACACTCTCTACTGGGGTTGTGCCCACACCCAAGGTACATGCCCTTGATTGGAATCGAACTTGGGACCCTTCAGTCCACAGGCAAACGCTCTATCCACTGAGCCAAACTGGTTTTGGCTGTTCATTTCTATCCTAGGTCACCCAGCGCTGAGCAGTAGGTGAATATGTGCTGGTTGTGACCCAGCTGTTCCTCAGGCTGAGGCAGGGCCCGAAGCTCACGGCCCCGCGCCCACTGCCGGGGGAGCACTCCTTTGTGAGAGTCCACCACCGGGAGCCACATGTGTGTCTGACTCAGCCTCCCTCCCTGTCAAGGCCAAGTGCATGCACTGGAGGAGCCACTGTGCAGCCCTTCTCTGGGAGAAACGAAGTCCCTGGAAGGGTAGACGCACCCAGACTTGGCCTCTGGGCACCGCACAAACATGCTGTGGTGCCGAGGGGGGGTGGGCCGCTTACCAGGAGGAGGCACTGTATGTGGCCGAGCCGCTGTCAGTGTCAAGGATGTTCTGGTCAGGCCCCTTCCAGGTGATGGTGGGCTTGGGTCGCCCGCACACTTTGCACTGCAGCGTCACCGTGTCCCCAAGCAAGCAGGTCACGTCCACTAACGGCACCAGGAATTCCGGGGCCACTGTCGTCAAATCGACATAAAGTCACAACATTCAGAACTGGGAATCAGACAGCCACTTGACAACACGTGCCTCTCATTTTTCCCACCCTATGCTGCAGAACGACTCAAATAACCTTCAGCTGAACACTGTGTCGAGTCACCCGTGCCCCACGAAAAGGTATTTTTAAAGGCAGTAAGTGTTCATTGTGGGGAAACTAGGAAATACAGGTAAGCAAACAGGAGAAAAGGCTTCGTGATGTTGTGATGTGGGGTAAGTACTGTGAACATTTGGTGTAGATGAGCTCAGGTCTCATAGCCACGTGCTTGGTCTTTCCAAACTTGAATCCCATTACCCACACTGCACCTGTGGTCTTCCCACCCCAACAGTTTCTCATAAACACGCTGCCCTGTCCACGCACAGCGCAGCCTCACACTGTCTAAAGGCCCCATGTCTGTGCTGGGTTTGTGTGAATTATTGGGTCGATCCCCACGTTCTCAGTTCTAGCACTTTTTAAACTCACCTTCTTGGATGAAATTTGGATTTAAGATCTGAAAGACAAAAAGAAACAGACAACTGCTGAAGTCCAAGAGCAGTATAAGAGCGCAGACACTTTTACCCTATTGAGTAAAAAGAAGCACAAGTTGTGGGGAGCAAGCCCAGAGCCCCGCCTCCGTGGTTTGTGACCGTGTCACCGTCACAGTGACGACGAAGGACCCTTGGCTTACGCTCCTGTCAACTCTGGTCGGACACATTTCTCCGGGCACAGGCGGGCTGTGGTGAGGGTGAGCGCTGCTGGCCACAGCAGGCCCTTCTCCATCGCCTCAGCTGCTCTTCTCCCTGCCACGTGCGTCAAAGCCCACGCTCCTGCCCACCCTGCTCGGCACCCGTTCATGTGTTGTGAGGGCATGGATTCTTCCTAGCATCACGAATTTTCAAAAACAGAGGACCTGACCTTTATCATATTGGAAGGGTCAATGGCATGAGCCATGAACCACGAACCTAGTGGTTTCCTTTCAAACATACCCATCTCCCTCCTTTCCCCCCCCTTCCCCCCAAGCAGGGAAACATCTCCCCACGCAGCTGCATGCCCATCCCTCTTGTCCCCAGCTCGGCCTCCTGCATCCCAGGTCTCCACAGGGCAACCAAAGAGCCACTGACCTAATGGTTCGGGCTCTTTGGCTGCTGAGGTGAGGGAATGGGGACTTGGGCTGACTAGGAGACTTGGCAGAGGCACCATGGGAGCTCATTGCACATACCATACCGACTGCCTCGTGACACCAGGGGTCTTCTCAGAAAGAAACACCTTCCAGCCTAGCCAGCGGAAAAGTTGCCCTTCCTAAGGGGGTGGAAGCCTTGGTTTTCCTCCCATCGTCCTATGGCCTCTAACCATGCAAGTCGGGGCCATAACGCGTGGCAGGGTGACCCAAACGTAAGGTGACCAGACATCCCGCTTTTGGCGGAACAGTCCCGATTTTTAACAATTTGTCAAAATCGGGACTTTTTTAAAATGCCGCGGGATATGGGACAAATTGTTAAAAATTGGAACTGTCCTGCCAAAAGCAGGACATCTGGTCACCTTACCCAAACAGGACGTGGGGAGTCAGAGAGGCTGGGCTCACCTCTTTTATTTTAAAAAAATATATATATTATTGATTTTTTATAGAGGGGAAGGGAAAGGGATAGAGAGCTATCAATAGAAACATTGATGAGAGAGAAACATCCATCAGCTGCCTCCTGCACACCCCCTACCAGGGATGTGTCCGCAACCAAGGTACATGCCCTTAACTGGAATAGAACCTGGGACCTTTCAGTCTGCAGAGCCAAACTGGTTTTGGCTCACTTCTTTTATTTAATGTGATTTCATGCTAATTACTTGAAATTTATTAGCATCAGCCTCATCTACTATAAAATGGGAATAAGTAATACTTAGTGCAAAGTACTGTGAAAAAATAATTTATGTCAAGTGCTTAGCACTATGCTTCACAAGAACAAGTCTTCAATGATTGTGTGAATGAAGATGATCTCACTCGAATCATCTCTCTTCTGCCTATTGTCCCAGTGGCTTAGCTCTAATAATTTATCTTACAGACTTCTTTCCTTCACAACAAAGCCAGAAAGCTGATGTGCTGTACCAACAGCCCCAAGGGCGTTCACACTTCGCTCCTGGTCTTTACATAGGAGGGGAACATGGCTTCTGTGTCCTCCCCACTACACAGGCATCCGATGCCCTTTGGAACAGAGATGCGTTTCCTCCTCTGGGTTCCCCTCTGCAGACAGTTGCTCAGGATGCTACCCAGGTGTTCAGGAAGCAGGCTGCAGAGCAGACCTGTGGTGCCAAGTCCTGGGGCTGAGCGGCCCACGGCTGGCCACTACAGTGTCCTCTGCTGGTTTTGAGAGGCCACTCCCTTTAATGGTTGGCTCTCCATCTTTGACCTGGACAGCTTGGGAAATACAAAAGGACCCATGCCTGGGCCTCACACCAGAGATTCTGTTTTAATTAGTGTGGAGGGGATCCAGGCAGCGGGAGTTCCAAAAACTGCCTCAGGTGCATCAACACGCAGCTTGGTTTGAGAGCTTTGGAAAGTTCCCTCAATTCAAGGGAACTGATCTCAGAGAGAGCAACTTCCTGCCCCTGAGGTTCTTCTGAGGTGGGGTGGGGTGGGGTGGGGTGGGATAGGGGTAGGGGTGTGTGTGGGGGGATTTGGTAAAAGCTTTTGTATTCCCCACATCTAAGGGACTCCATTATGTGGCTTTGTGAGGAGACATGTAGGGAACTTCCGCTAACCATGGTGGGCAGCGCCCTATCATTTGTTGTTGTTGTTGTTGTTGGTGGGGGGACGGGGGTTCTAAGGAGGCCATGCATTTACCCCCCTGACTTAGGTTGAGGCAAAGGGAACAACATCCGAACCAGCCATTTCACAGTCAAAGAACAAGAGACTAACAATATCTTCTGAAGTCCCCATGGTCTTCTCAGGCTGAGATACAGCTCGGCTTTCCCCCATTCACACAACATTCCTGTCTCTTCTGGGCCACGGTAAGGTTTCATGGACATGGAGGTGCTAGGACATGGGCCCTGACCTCAGGATTTGGAAAGTGTGGCCTGGATTTGGGCGGTACTTTTCTTTCTGTTCTTACCCAGCCTTTCCAAATATTCTCCAGTCAGAACGTCTCACTTTTTAATAACCTTTCCTTAAAGGAGAAAAGGCGCAGCCGGAGCTATTGACTGTGGGCTCTTCTCTGGTATATTGCAACTTGCCGAGAGCCTGTTTTCAAACACAGATGGCATGCAAACTTTTTGGGAAGTGATTAAAAAGCAACAAAATCGTTTGCCTTTGAGAAAGGAGGTGTCTGGGCACGAGGAGGTGTGAACTCTGAGCGGACAGAACGGGAAGAACCCAGACCTTACGCCAGAAAGTCCTCCTGCGTTGGAAATATTCTTAAAGCAGCTCGGCCTCAGCTGTATCTGTGACATGGGAACAATGAGGCCCGCCTGGAGTGGTGTTTGATATGAGGACTCGTTCGTGGGTGAGGGTTTTTGTGAGCTGACCCCTGGTGAGGTGGTGGTGTCTGGCAGCGAGGAGGGCATACCTGTTCACTGCCTTTGAGGGGAATCCACTGTGGAGTCTATTGAATGAGATGACATGGGTACAGGGGCTGGGTGGGGCCTGGCTGGTGCTAATGACCAGCCTTCCACAGGCATGAAGTGGAAGGCTGCCCCACCCCCACTCCCTCAGAATGACTCCGGGGGAAAAACACTTCGGGAAAGTGGCCAACTTTGTTTAGTGGCCTGCCTTTTCCATCCCGATGGGAATCCACAAGGAGCAAGACAGTGAGTCCACGCAGGGGTCTCTGAGGAGACAAACGACCAACGGGAGCGATGAATGGCAGTTCCTACGCTATAACATTGTAAGGGGGGTTTCATAACAGGCACCGGGCAGTAAAGCAACACCTCAACGGCTGCTTAGAGTGTGTCTTGCCTTCTTTCTCTTTCTCATCATAACGCCAATGGTGCTAAGTATGTGATTAAACACAGCGCTGGTTAGAAAGCAAATCCTCCTGGCCTGGGTGCAGGCGTCGGTGCGGAAGTTGGAGAGAGTAGGCTTTCTTGCGGTTCTCTACCTATAAGAGCTGGTGAAGGCCCCCGTCCCGGCCCAGGCGCTGCTGGGAACGGTAACAATGGCACCGACTGTGCAGTCTTCCGCAGTGGGCACAGACTGCTGGCAGCCTCCTTCCTCTGCTCCCTGGGAGGAAGTGCCATTCAGGGGTTATCTACTTCCGTTTCCAGATGAGACAGGGAAGTCCGTGTAAGATCCGAGAGATGGTGTGAGGACTGGCCCTGCCCGCTCCTTCCACCACAGCCTTCGGTGCAGAGGCTGGGCTCTGGGGAAAACGTGATGAAAGTCGGTCACGGATGCCCTAGGCCTACCTGCTCACCTTTGCCCTCCAACCCAACTCTACCTGGCCCTCCTCTTTAACTTCCCCCAGCAAGGACAGGAGCCTGGGCAACATCCATGCTAAGGATTTCGTTTACTTTGACTCTGGATTGTGTCCTTAGGTGATTCCTCCTCAGTTTTCCTCCTGAGTGGAAGCAGATCCGAATGGGGCCTGGAGCAGGGCTGTGGCCGCCTCTCAGGCTGCAGTGGAAGAGCCTCCATATTGGTCTACGGATTCCTGTGGACGGACTTCAGGGCCTAGGTGGGCAGGGAGTGTGTGTTGTTGAGTGTTAATGCCTCAGATCCTGGTACATATTTGTCAAAGCAAGGGAAACTTAAAGGGGTGGGATCCTAATTTGGGGAGGAGAGTGGAGAAAATGTCTTGCATGAACTTGGGGATTTTCCTATTCCCATGACTCAGAATGTGAATTGATCTGGAACTCCATTGCCGGCCCCTGTGGAGGCTCAGGCAGAAGTGATCGTCCCTCCTCCATGCTCTTCCTATGGCTCTGCCCATCTGCCCATCTATCCCGGCATCTTCCCTGCAGTTACTGCCCCACCAGGCTGTGAATCCTTTAAAGATGGCCACCCTTTTCACATGTCTCATGTACCACCTGGTATGCTGCTTAACACAGCCTTTTGCACAGAGCAGATCAAGTATTTGTTGAAGCAAACTCACGGATGTCACACAATGAGCAGATAAGGATTCTGGCCCCCTGACCATGTGTCTAACGACCACTGCTCATGTGTGAAGGGACGTGAGGTGTCAGGTTGGGTCCTGAAGGGTTCATCGTAAGCTGCCCCGTTTCTTGAAACCGAATGCTCCCCTTCCTCAGGGGGGCCGTGTAGAGTGGCAGACGGGAAAGGGGACAGAACTGGAACCCAAGACAGATAGGGAAAGGTGACGCTCCTTATGTGAAACACACATGGCTCTCTCTCTGGGAGACCAAATGCAAGAGGACGGCCTGGCATAGACCATGTAGGGGAGGCTGCTGAGGACTTGGGTTTATTTGAACAGCAGAGGGCGGTAGGGGGTAGTGCTTCCTCCTGGATGGGAAAAAACCACCACTGTGGTCCATGGCACCTTCATGCTTCCTGCTGGAGAGAATTCCAAC